CCGCCATGACACCCCACTACCCTATCCACCCAACACCCAGTCACCCTGCCAGCAGCAGGACAGAAATGAACAGGGGCAGTCACTGGTCCTCTTGTTGTGTCATCAAGTCTTCACCTTCATGAAAAAAGGAACAACATTTAAGCATGGAAAAGATATCTGGGATATAACAGAAGACAAAAACACCACACAAAACCCTTTGCAATGTTGCCCTGGGCCTTAACTTCCTACTTCTCCCATTTGATTGGTGTGAATCATTTGGCGCTGATCTGAAAACACAACCTTTAAATAACAGAATGAAAACTCTTGGGTAATAATGAAACGGGTGGAGCAGATGACTCCTTGAAAATGTATGAACTTGAAAAGGTATACTAATAGAGGAGTAAAACAGACTATAAACATGATGAACTGCCGCCAGTAATCAAAGCACTGAAAGAAATCGCTATGATTAGCTGATTAGTAAGCTTGGCCAACACCAGTTCGCATGATGAATAGCTCATCAATGAATCACACTGTATGGCCCAAACAGCCCAGCTTTTCAGAGACACACAGTAGGCAATACAAGCTGAGAAATCACTACGCTTTTGTTGTTCTGAAAAACAAACCATTAAAGAAAAATCAGCTCTACTTTCCTGAGACAGACAAGCTGAGCCAAGCATGATGATAAATTCATAAGAATGGGAGATTTATGTGAAATAGCAAAAGTCTGTTCTTCATTACCGCCTGAGTGGCTACAGACAGGCATGCCTCAGATAGATTCACCACCTTCTTAGAGACTAACAGAGAGATCCACTTATCAACAGATTAAGTGACTAACTTGATTCAGGAAGAATGTCCTGTTGAACTTGACATTCAAAGCAACTGTTGGATTTAATGGATGGAGAGGAGAAAAAAACCACATTACACACACAGGAACACCATGTTACTTCGCTACTCTAAAACAAGTTTAAATATGTATGTCACCTGATTGTGATTAATCAGACCTAAATCAGATTAGACAACTATATTCCATAGCAGACACATTCAGCATAACTTTTTAATTCATGAGCTGACATATCCCAAGTTGCTCTTTCTGGTTTTGTAACCTGTTTTTAACAGTCACACTGGATCATTGTGAACCACACAATGGATTCAATATACTAGACTTCTGAAAACAAGTTCTGATGCCATAGCCCTGGGTTACACTCTCTCCTTGGAAAGAAAACTCAGAAAGTTTACTATAATTATACTACCTTCAAATGAATGGGACCTGTTTATTTCAAGTCTATTAGCCCACCAATCCAGTAGTGACAATTTTATCTTCATATTGATATTGTTAAGATCTTAATGTTGTTTATTAACTTGACCCTATAAAGCATACTGTATCATATTCGATACATTAATTGCTTAGGCCTTTAATATATCAACATGATCAAAACTTTCCTTAAAAACACAATCTCCTACATGCCTTCTGACTGATAGTTCAAAGCCTTTTCATGTAATTCTTAAATAAAAAATAAAAACCTTCAGTTCATGGTACACAGGTCTTTTTGCTGTGAAATCTTTAATGATTTTTATAAAGCAAACGTATGAGTATTTTTTTTTGTTATTAATATATAAGAAAACCATTTACTGGACTGGAGCAACTTTTACGTTTACTTGATAACCCATACAGATTTTTTTAAAGAAAAAAATCATGTTAAAAAATGTATCAAATACAATACTTTTGAGGAACTTTTATTTGTACATCTCTCAATCATCATTGTATTCCATTACATTTTAAGTTTTGCTGCCCACAGTTAAAACTACAAAACTTCAATAATAAAACTAATAATTTAAACATCTTACTAAAATGTATTATTGGTAGACAGAGTAACAACTAATATTAATACACATTAATAGTCCTTAATTATACTGTTATAAAAATCTCATAATTTCATCTTACCTTTTGGCCATATAAAAAGCATCAACTGCACAAAATTGCATATATTTGGGCCTCTGGATAAAATTGACGTTTTTCCCCATTCCTTGAGTGTAGGCACTATATTCTCACTATATCATATCACATGGGCCAAAGCCCATGTGATATGATATCACGCTTGATGTATTAAACATGATACATGAAAACATAGAACGTATGCACAACTTTCCTTTATATTCTGTCTACAGGCTTAAAGTGTCCCATTTCATAAACAATTGGATTTGTCTGACCATTATTATATATGTCAGGTATTTTACAGTGTTAACTAAAGCAATAAACTCATTCCAACCTAAACTGAATATAAGAGTATGGAAGAAATTTAGGTAATTTCTAATACTAAACTAAGCTTCAGATTCTGTCTGCTGTTGTTCTTACAGCATAGAGATAAATAAAAATTCAAATAATCAAAGTACCAACAAAGCAAGACTACAAAGTACCAACAAAAGCTTGTCCGTGGCTCTTGTATTCATGATATCTGAAGGACAAACATGATTCTAATGATGTTCTTTGACTTTCTGCCAGTGCAGCTGACTAAGGAGTCAAAAAACAAGTTGATTGCAACCGATGTCATCATGACACCAAGCTATACATCAGCATAATAAAACCTCACCTTCACAGTGAACACAGACGGCACCTTTGAGCGTTAATAGTATAATCATAAGATTCACGCATAGTGTGTTTGATCTATAATATCATGACTTGTGTTTAACTTCATGTATGGCCATCTAACATGATACTGAGAACCGAGCAGGTGAACAAACAGTCCAATTAACCCTGAAAATCTCTAACCATGAACAATATAACGTTATCAAACTCCATAACTGTGATTAAACGTAAGAGAAGGAAAGTTAGGCGAAAAGATTCGTTCAATCTTCGTTCAACGTTCAATCTTGTCCTAATGGCCTCTTTCTTGAGTTCAGACAGCTTGTGTTAGCTTACACGCCATGACATGAGTCCAAAACCGTTTAATTTCACGTCAAAGTCATATTTGACCGTATGTTTCCGCAGCAAATGAGTATAAACATAAATTATCTGTTGTGAAAGCGAGGTTCAGTTAGCTGGGATTAGCTAAAATGCGTCCTTGTTAGCATCACTTCGACAGACTTAATTAATCCCAAACTTCATTTACTTAATTGGTATTGGGCATGAATACATTTTCCATCCATATATATAATCGGTCTGAAAGCAATTTTAAGGTAAAAACACCAAGTAACACTAACGCGGCCTTGTGTTTACCAGTAAATCCGCGAGCTAAAGTTGAATGGAAGCCCGAGGCCTGAATGCGTCTGTCAGGCAGAGAAACAAATCATCCGCCGAGCGACACAAACACTCACCGTTTATCGCCGAACGACGAGAAGACAAGAAAAACACACAGGGTGGAAAAAATTCGTCTCGGGATTAAGTTGTGTCAGACGGCAAGATGTGAATATTGCTTCATTCCCCGCTTCTGCTTGTTGTAAGGTAGAGGTCAAAGTGAACGGGAATGCGACGGGTGAAATGGAGAGCCGTGGAAAGGACTAGTCGAGGCTCCGCATATCACGAGGCTCCGCAGCAGCGCTTAGGAACACGCAGCGATGCGGCTAAGCGACAGGGGGCGCTAAAACACCTCTAGAGGTCAAAGTGAACGGGAATGCGACGGGTGAAATGGAGAGCCGTGGAAAGGACTAGTCGAGGCTCCGCAGCAGCGCTTAGGAACACGCAGCGATGCGGCTAAGCGACAGGGGGCGCTAAAACACCTCGCCATTTACAGTCAACGCAATAGTATCTCAGTCAATGAGGTCGCCAAAAAGATTAAAACCATTCACCTAGATAGCACGGAAAGTGAACGGTGACACATGCTCTCTGAAATCAAGCACTGTTTTAGTAGATTAACGTTCATATCGAAACTTTTGAAATGCACTATGCATTTTATCTATTGATCCTAGTAGACTGGATTTGGACATATTATGCACAGTGAGGGAAAAAAAACTGCAAATGTCCTTTCCAGGTTCCACTGTAAATTAAAACCAATGCACTCTTGAAGCAAAACTAGACTTTATTCTTCCAGTAGAATCAGAAAATAAATGTTAATCTTGCCCTATTATTGAATTTGTACAATTTACAACATACAAAATAACTGGTATGGTTATAAATGCATAATTGTACTTAATCATTGCTGCTTCTAGCAGAAAAACAATGGTCCAATATTAGCTGAAACTCTTCCATTTGCATTGTAAACTTGTTAGTAGTGCGCTTATAGTAGTAAATATTAATTTGCTGCTTGTTCAATATTTTTGCTCATGTAGGATTCATCTATTACTTATATCGTCAGTGCAAGTGCAAGATAGTTGTGTTGAAATAAAGTGACACCAACACATATTTGCATGCATAATTAGAATACAGAAAAAAACGAAAAAGTGTAAAATATGTTTGTAACTAAAGTTAAGTACCATTTTAACATATGGAAGCCAATTTCTGCCACCTAAGAAAAAAAATGATGAGATAAAATCATAATCATGATAAAAAGTCAAAACTATTACGTCGATATTGACAGTCAAAACTGACACACCAAGTATCTATGATGAGTCAAAATTGACATGAACCGTTAAATTATGTGCTAGTCAAAATTATGAGAAGTCAATTATTTATTATTTTAGTTTTAATTTAGTATGTCACAATTTTGACTTCGTCTTAATTATAATTTACCAAACCAAGATTTTATTCTTATGTGGCAGAAATGGGCTTCCATATGAATGCATACTGCAGATGTATTCAAAGCATCAGTGCAGTGATGTGATGCAAGTATCTACTTTATCATTAATACACATTCACAACACGTGCAACTATCTCTAAGCAACTTAAAATATTGAACACATTTTACATTTATAATATTAAAATGCACTAAAACTGTATATGTAAAGTCAGCAGATACCTGATTACCAGCAGTGCAGCTGGTCAGGTTTAGTTGTGAGCTGCAGCATGTCAATGAGAAATTAATGATTTGCAATCTTTGTACAGACACAATAAAATATACAAAAAAATTCATGCTATGACAAAAAGTTTCTATAAATGGTAACCATATAAAATCCACTCCCATGGTTCAGCTGTTCTTCATGTGAAACACACTTCCCCTTACTATCTGAGTAAATATGTATTACGTTCCTCATAGAGGTTAATGCAGTTTTAAAACCGACTACAATATTTAAATGACACAATTTTTAAATTGATTTATCTTTAAAAACAAAACCGATTAAAACAACACCTCAACATTCACTCAGTCATTCAAATCCTAATTCTCGTATCATATCCAGTCAGGAGGATTCACAGGAAATTGATCTTCAGTTGAATGCTGGGCGTGTTTTTGCTAATGACTCGAGGTGCTTGTGCCTTAGTGTTCACGCTCTCCTGGTTGCCCTTGACGGCTGCCTCCAGCCTGGCTTTCATGTGCGGGGAGGAGGCCATCAGCGCTTTGAAGACAGTCGAGTGCTGGGGGCCGATGCGCATGAGGTCTCTTAAGGCGGACTCGTGCAGTGAGCGAGAGGCTGCTGGAGCTGATGCCAAAGCATTCTCATCCAGCAGGAGAGAGATGAGGATGGGCAACAGCACAGCCACCAGCTGTGGACCTGCATGGTTAAAACACATACTTAGTGCTAAACAACAATGCAACATTTTGCTAACAGTAATTATAAAGAAGACATTTATAACCCAATGAATTCTTCTTGTTTTTTTAACGATATAATAACTGACAGCTGTTTGGGACTAAAACCTGAAAACATTTCCAATCACTTACGGTGAGTTTCGTCTGCAGCAAACACTAGTGCTTCAAGGGCTCGGATTGCATCTTGCACGGCCTGTAGCTCTGCTGGGCCTTGAGGATGACTCTTTTCCACTTCCTCCAGTTGTGACACCAGACGGCCACCCAGAGCTAGAATAAATGGCCTGGCTACCAGCGCTGGGCCTTGGAATAAAGATACTAGCATCTGATAACTTCTGCTCAGAACCTAAATGAGAAATTTTAGGACATAGTAGAGAAGAATACTAAATATAGAGTTTTTTTGGGAATTGTATGTAAAATTGTAGCAAAGCTCCTTATTTAAGCAGCCTGATGTCAAAGACTGAGGTCGGTAGGATTTTTAAAATGTTTTTGAAAAAAGTCTCTTCTGCTCACCAAGGCTGCATCTATTTGTTAAAAAATACAGTAAAACAGTAATACTATGAAATATTATTTCAATTTAAAAGAACTGTTTTCAATTTAAATAATTTTTTAATTAATTTATTCCTGTGATGGCAAAGTTGAGTTTTCAGCAGCCATTACTCCAGTCATCAGTGTCACATGATCCTTCAAAAATCATTAGAATATTCTGTTCTGGTGCTCAAGAAACATTCATTATCAATGTTGAAAACAGTTGTGCTGCTTCATATTTTTGCTTTTTTTTCAGGATTCTTTGATGAATAGAAAGTTCAAAATATCAGCATTTATTTGAAATATTTTGTAACAATGTAAAAGTCACAGCAAGTCACTTTTGATTAATTTAATGTGCCTGTGCTGAATAAAATGAATTTCTTT